CGGCGCGAAGCTCCGCCGAGCTTCCCAGGTTTTGGCTACCGCTCGGCTGCTCCGCACGAGCAGCTGGTCGCTCAGAACGGCTCTTCCCTCTTTCCCCCCAGCACTCCATGGATTTCTTGCTGTTCCAGTTCGGCCTGTGCACTTTTAAATACGACCACGCGGAATCTAAGTAGGTCCCTCTCCGGGTTTTCAAAATTAAGCGTCCTGGCGGGCGTAGCTTGTAAATTGACGTTCGAACCCTTATTTCCTTTTAGATATATCATGAAATCATTTAACTTCTACATCTTCCCCAAACCTTTCAACAGAACATCACCAGATGTCAAGTTTGTCTGTCAGGTAAACAGAGTGACCCACGTACGGGGAGCCCCCCGTTTAAGAAGGCGTTCTGTCCCCAGGGTCTGTCCGTAAGTCGAATTCGTGCCTGAGCAGTATTATTATATAATGCTATATAAGCAGCATTGTGCATTTAACTCGAATTTTGCTGTAATAGGCTCCATTTGTAACCCTGCGTTGTCCTTAAACCAGGCATTCTTAACCCAGGGAATACCTGTATGTATTTTTTCCCCTCTGATTCCGAAATATTACTTTTCAGTAGTGGAGAATCCAAAGCAAAATCTTCTGCTACAAGATCAATCTTGCACAAATGCAATCCCCGATTATTCAGATGAGACTTTTTCTCTGTCTAATGATTGCTCAATATCATAGCATTGTTTCATTAACTAACTCACTAGCTTTGGAAGCTAGATTAAAAGTTTATTAAAAATGTGTTTTTTGGTAAAGTTATTCAGTCAGAAGGATCTTTTCAATTTGAGAAAAGTTTTGTACTCTCAGTCTTCAGTGTCATGCGTAGATGTGGTTTGTAGCCTGGTGTTGGAGAAAAAGTAATCTGGAAGCTTCCTTGTGCCTTGCAGTTTGTAGGTAAGGCCAGCAGTTTGAATTGTGTCTGGGAGACTGTAAATACATTGTTTCATCGACTGAATAATATATACATAGCCCACCATGGATTGGTGTTTTTAGCAGTGGAAACTTAATTTCGTTAGATTTATGAACGATTCTACAAGCGACTTCAATCTATTTCTTGTTTTTCTTCCAGAGCTCAAGTATAGATTTTTTAGCAAACCAGGGATTTGATTTTAATAAAGTTTTTCGCAACGGTAAGTCTTTTGTAAATCTTTTTAAAATAACCTTGCATTTCTATAGCTGTAGCTTCAAATTCATTCTTTCCAGTATTTTGAAACCCGATCATGGAGAAAAAAAGCCATGTTTCTGCAATGATTTGGTGTTAAAGTTTAATTCCCATCACTCCCACCAGCAGAGTTAAAAGTTCTCCTCCCACAGATCTGGAGGACACTAGGGTTGGAAGATGACTGGATGCCCAGATCTTTAAACTGAAACAGGAACTTCATCTGAGTCCCTCCCACCCCTCACCCCCACCTTTCTTTCCCCTCTGTTTTTAAGGTATCCCTTACTTAAATCAAGAAGAAGAAAGACAGTTACGGGAGCAATATGACGAGAAGCGTTCTCAAGCCAATGGGCTGGGGGCCTTGTCATATATGTCACCTGGTACCAATAAGCGTCCATCGGCTATTCCTGAGGATCAGAAGAAGTTCATCGAGAAAGTCATGTAAGTGAAAATACAGTGGGATAAGTCTCTGCTTGAAGAGGGACTCCAAACACCAGCGGTAATCGTTGCACTGGCTTTTAAAATTATTTTCTGGGCCAGACAAAGTTTTGTCAGGAAGAGAATCCTCTTTCTGTTGTCCTCTGCCAGGCTGAAAATGGATCTGCAGCTTGAGAGCATGTCTTGCGCAGGAGGGAGAGTGGCGGGGGCTAGTTTGTAGAAGGCTGACGAAGGCTGACCACCTCTGTATGTTTCTCTGGAGCATGTTCAGCAGCAGAGGCCCTGCTGTGGGCTCCCACACGGTCAAGGCGTGGGGGATTTAACCAGGGACAGGCCCTTCACTGGGGTGGTGCCTGTCAGGGGGCTCTTCAGGAAGAGATGTTTATGAGGCCTGTCTATCTGCGTTTTCCAGCTTAGTACATCCTGATTGTTTCTGTTGATGATGTGTTTGTGGGGATGGGGTTATACTGGTCCCTTTCTCTTTTTTTTTTACCCCCCCCCCATTTACTTTGAATTTCTGAAAGCAAAGCTGGGTACCCGTTTAAATAAAAATTTATTTGTGATAGTGCGCACAATGCGGATCCAGTGAATGGTAAAACTTGCCAGCTATCTAATTTTGGGGGACACAAGCTGTTGTGTGCTCAGTAGGAGAACGATGGTTCTACCTTGTCTGGATTGATGCTCCGCTGGTGTCAGACGGCTTTCCCCATCGTGGGAGGATGCCCACTAGATGCCTTCCATTTCTCTCCCCTTTTTCAGAGAAAGGATAGAAGGTCTCTTGCAGAACGAAGAAAGCACCAACATCCAGCTGGAGCCGTGCACAGGGTTAGTTCTTCGAAATCACCAAGTGGGTCTCGGGCAGAGCTTTGAGTAGATGAGGCTGGGTGGGCTGAGGAGAGGAGAGGAAATGGCAACTGGCCCTTCTCTGTTCATGTTCACAGCTTTCTCTTTCTCTCTGTAGGTTTCAGAGGAAACTAATCTATCAGACGCTGAGCTGGAAGTGAGTACTGCTCTGCGTCAATTCCTATGAGGATAAGCAGCTAAAACAGGCTTCTCCGCATCTGGGAAGAGATTCTCCGTTACGAATGGCTGGGGGTGCTGCATCCTTAGAGGACAAGCGCAGGCCTCCCCATCTCCTGTGTGCATATTGATCTACAGCTCCTGGCTAGGGGCCAAAGAGCCTGGCTGCAGAGTCCATAGCCCTGTAGTTGTCTGGACGCATGCAGGACAAAACTTCTGCTTTCCTTTTGAGCACTTTTTTCTTTATCCATCAAGCACAAAATCTAAACTGATATTTCTGTTTCTGATGTTATTGCCAAACATGGCATTTGCTTAATTTCCATTCTGCAAACCTAAAGCAGACTATTATTAATCCTTATTTTTTTCAATTTCACCATAGGTATCCAAAAGGCATCCATGTTGAAACTCTGGAAACAGAAAAGGTGACTAGTTCTGCATTTTCTGCTTTACACCAAGTGCACCTTGGTAAGATTCTATGGTCCTCCAGGCATCTCCAGGAGAGTTTCAGTGGGTCATGTGGCACCCATTCCTTTGCTTGTCTGGGACCAGGGCCTAATCCTTTAAGGAGCAAGACCTCCAGTGGGTCCTGGCTAGTTCAGAAGTAGGTAAAGCCAAAGGCTTCCCATAATAGTGATTTAACCTGGCTACGAACAGCCTTGATTGATGTCCTTAGCACGAATGAGGCTGATGTTCTGGGTTTGGTGAATGTGGGTAACTGCTCCTGCACATTGCCACGTGCTGCAGGGTTTTTTTTGGCAAAAATGGGATGATCTATATTTTTCTCATAATATGGAAGTAGTCATGTCATGTTGATAATGTAAAAATGGTTTGGGCGAGAGAGAGGGATGCTTCGTTTCTTAACCCACAAGTTCTGAAGCCTTAGAGCTGAGAAACAATATTTTAAAACAGCTTTGCCCACCCTGCTGCCCTCTAAATACACTGGGGTGGTAACTTGCAGCGTTCCCAGCCAGGATGTAAAGTCAGACCGGGAAACGCATCAGAGTAAAAGTCAGGTTGGTTCTCCCTCCTCCCCCACCCAAGAATGGGACGTTTGCAGCCATGTGGGAGCGCCAGGGCCATTGCGCTCTTGCTTCTGCCGGCATTAACATTTGTGGCTCTTAGAAGGAACGATACATGGTCATCAGCAAAGTGGACGAAGAGGAGCGCAAGAGAAGAGGGCAACAGAAGCAAGCGAAGGAGCAGGCACGTACCCCAAACGCCTTTGCTGCAGCAGGGACCGGCTTGGTGGCCTGGGGGCAGGTCAGCCTAGTCTTGGTCTCTCACCTAACGAGCGAGAGACTGATTCGCCCCACGAGCAGGGATGTTTGGCTGAACAGGGCGAGGGGACTCATCCTGGGTTTTCCACTTGCAGGAGGAACTGAAGGACGCTGTGGGGTTTTCACGAGTCATTCACGCCCTTGCAAATTCTGTACGTTTGTTGCCTTCTGGTGTGTGTATACATAGAATGAAACCAGTCGCCTCTAATAGAGAAAATCACTGGGCTCAGCAGGTGGCAATGAGGTGGGAAATACCGTGGGGACTCGGAAAGAGGCCGTCACGTCGCTAATGGGGTTGGGGTTAAAAGACTGGCAAGGTACGGATCTCTAGGGGAGCCGGCCCATGTATTGGGAGGGGGGCTTCCTGCCAGGCCCTGCCAAAAGTCAGTAACGATGCCCTTCTCCAAGGAGGTTATCAGGAATGGCGCCTCAGCCACGGAATGGCCATCTGAGGTGGCGCTCTGGCAGCGTTTATTTGTGCTGTGAGCAGTTTGTTTAGGTAGTCGGCTGTATGGCTTTTAGTTCTGTGGCTTTTTTTCTGCTACTTGTTTCATCTGAATCATTTTAAGGCATTTGTTTTTGTAAACTGGGTTGAAACCATTATGCATGCCATCAGCTGATGAAGTTACCCAGGATTGTTCTTAAGCAGTCTCAACGTAGCATAGTGGTGTTGAGAACATGGTCGGCCTCTGCATGCCCTCTGAACATTGTGCTTGGTTGCTTCTCCACAGGGCAAGCTTGTGGTCGGACACAACATGTTACTGGATGTCATGCATACCATCCACCAGTTCTACTGCTCCCTCCCAGAGGTTGGTGGTTTCTCCCACGCACTGAAGTCTGCTCTTCACTCGAAATGCCCTTTGCAGAAAAGTCAGATCTTCCCTAATCCATCCAGCAGAGACTCGCCTGTCTGGTGCACGCGTAGGCCTGTTATCCTGGGGTCCCATTCTGGGAAGAGCATGAGAGGCCCTGGCCTCTGAAGCTCCACTGAGTCTAATGCTCTGTCTCCCAAAGGGACCGACTAGATCGGTCCAAGCGGTCAACAGCTTCCCAATATATTACTGTTCAGCTGCTGATGGTCAAAGGTAGACTGCTTCCCTGTGTGACATTTCCTCTACTTTTCACTGGAGCTAGCTAGGTTCCGTAACTTCAAAAACTTCTCTAATTAGGGTTCTCTTAAGCTGGGGACCATCTGTGGTATCAAACCTCCTAGGTTAGTGTGGGGTCAGGAGTGAAGAAGTCTTTCCACTTTAACTTTTCTAACATGGTAGGCTCCTCGCCTGTTTTCTGTGCCTCTCTGCTCTACTCCTCTCCTGTCTAAATAAAGAAGCCTAAACAGTGTCACGTTCTCTCATAGTGAAGAAGGTGCCCCAGTTCTTTTTATCTGGCTTCCCTTTTCTGCATTCTTCCCTAACTCTGTAGTTCTCCTCAGATACAATGAACAAAACTGTCCAGGTTATTTTTTGATGGCACCATAAATGTATGGGAATTCCAATATTGGCTTTTAAAAAAACTGTCCAAGCCTTCCCTTGGCATCACGAACATTATTTTTCTCCAATAAATTAATTGCGCATTGATGCATGCATATTTCAGTTTACATCATCCCTGTTGTTTCAGCAATCTGATTCTTTTAATTTTCAGGATTTCAGTGAGTTCAAAGAACTAGCAACATGTGTCTTTCCAAGGTCAGTGTTTCTGTTTGCAGGTACGTAAGAGCATAAGCCGTGCCCTGCTGGTTCAGACCCCTGGCCTATCTAGTCCAGCCATCTGTTCTCACAGTGGCCTGCCACTGCCCAAGGAAGCCCCCTGGTCTCCCAGCAGATGCCCTTCAGAGCCAGTCCCGCTGCCCTCAAGACCAAGAGCCGCTGATGCCCATAAGCAGCCAGGATCTCAGTTAAAGTATTTGCTATAACGCTGCTCTTGTTGAACATTGGAGCTCAGGAAGGTCCGTCCTTGTAGCTGTCTTATTTCAGGCGTGCCACCCCTTATGTGTTTTCCCAGGACTCCTGGCTATAGGAGGAAAGGACAATACTTGCAGATCCTCAGCCCATGTCCTTTGGCTTCCAAAACCTGCTCCTCAGCCATCAGGGCTGAATATGTTCCAATATATGTAGGGTACTGGATTCTCCTTCCCCACACCTGTGGGGCAGAGTCTCAGAGGGCACAACCCAAGGATTTTTGTTCAAGAGGGAGAATTTTTTTCCTTATTGTGAAAAATCTAATTTATAGGTTATTGGACACTAAATTGATGGCAAGCACTCAGCCATTCAAGGTAGGACATTTGCATTTATTGATAGCACGTGTTAAAATAGTATTGTGGTAGTTTGCAAAGTTTTCGAAGTGAAACAGGTAAGACTGTTTTGCAACAAAGATAACATGTAATTTACGCATCTAGTGAACTGCCTTTTCTAGGCCACAGAATGCTATCCACAAAAGCGACTGCTGCTTGGCAGAGTGCAAAAAATTAAGCTCACAGTGAAAGCTAGCTCTAATCTAAGTGTCTGGCTGTTTTTTTGGGCGGGGGCTGGAGGCTGCCCTGGAAGAAGTCCTGGCTGTCTTTAGCAGGATCTCTTGGTGCCACAGCGCTAGATCGTCAGTCCTACCTGTTGCTCAGTTGGGGCGGCGTTTCTGGTCACAATGGGCCCTTCAATTATCCTTGTTAATTAGAGTGAAGGCAAGAAAAGGACTGGTGAGCTAACCTTGGAAGCATTTCACATAGGGCTAACAAATGGATGTATATTTTTGTTAATTCCAAATGTTTCGGAAATTGGTGAAAGCGTTAGAAGGGCATTTCATCTTCTTCTCACTGTCTCGCTTACCAGTTTGTATTGATAATAGTGTCCCAAATGGCATTAGTGTACAGAGCCACAATTTAAAACTTCTGAGCTGGTGTTGGTTTTAAAATTCTCAAACCCTGTTTTGGCTTTTAAAAGACTTGGCAGCCACTTCAGTATTTCCAAGAAGGCCAAGATTTCAGGAAGTGTGCGTGCGTGCGTGTGCACGCGCACACACACACACACGAGGAAAGCGAGTTTGGAACTAAGGGAAAGCTCAGAAGGCATTTCAGGGCAACATCCTGGCCAAGAGGGCAGTGGGGGGCCAGGACGTTCCAGCCACTGCAGGACTCCTTCTCACAATTCTGCTTCTGCTTTCTGTAGATTTCAGGTCACTTGGTGGAGGCGTTTGGGGACCCAATCCACATATTCAAGCGGAGGGTCAGGCGGTTTCGTTATATATATATTTATATATAAATATGTATGCCTACTGGCATCTGTTTGCCATCAGTTATGCCTCATACTCTCTTTTGCTCTCAGGAGATTATTAAGAACACATCCCTGGCAGAGTTGGAAAAGCGTCTGAAGGAGGTGCCCTTCAACCCTCCAAAAGTTGGTAAGGAAACAAAGGGCAGCTGAAATCTGGCTTTTAGTAGACATGGCAGGTGAGCATTTGAAAACGTAGCCTTTGCTTTGGTGGGGAGAAATGTATTTGATTCTTGCTAGCTACAGGCATTTCTGTATGGTTTCTGTTGGGAATTTAGATGGGGGTTTCAGAAACATACAAAACTAGTGATGTTATTGGGGCAGTATCCGGATGAAAAAGGCTGCAATTTATGCTACTTCTTCATCAGAGGCAAAGATTTTGCCCAGTGAATTTTCCACGTATCTTGAAAATGTTCACATTGCTTAGGAACAGAATGTAGCAAGAAAAAGACATTATAGGATCTGGTTTATTTTCTGTTGGGATAGGGGTCAGCAAAACAATCTCTGGGAGGAAACTGCTGGGACTTCAAGCAGGTCTCTGCATCCCTGTATGGACTAAAATATTCCTCCTCCCATCCAGGTAACTTTGAGTAAAAGCATCCTTTCCTTTCTCAGAAAGCGCCGAAGGGTTTCCCAGTTACAACACGGCTTCAGAGCAGCTTCACGAAGCTGGTTATGATGCCTATATCACAGGCCTCTGCTTCATCTCCATGGCAAACTTCTTAGGTACTCAAATCTTCTCACGCTTGTGTAGCATACCCACCTGTCTCCTTTGCTCATTGTATTTGATTTTTTTTTTCTTATCTTTTGCTCATTAGGTTCATTTCTCAGCCCTCCCCAAAATCATGTATCTGCCAGTTCAAAGCTGATAGAGCCTTTTTTCAACAAGTAAGTAATAAGTGTTCTTGAAAACCTGTTGTTTTCTGAAATTCTTGTATTGCTAGCTAATTTAGAATTTGCAGGATCAATACTGAAGCAGGAAGATATTAAAGGAGGTGCCAGGACCGAAACAAAAAGCATTGTATTTACAGCATTTAAATTCTCCCTATAAATTAAGTATGGCGCCAGGGGCCCCTCCCCAATCTGCCAGGGTGAGCCCAAGTGGTGGGGATGGCCTCTGATTCAGAAAGGGGGGCTCTCGTTGGGCAAGCTTTATAGCTTTGCAACCTCTCTTTCCCCCTCCACCCCAGAGCTAGTAGTTTAGACATCAGCAAAGGAACTTTACATATTAATGAGGATTAAGTGTCTAGCAGGCATGGGGTGCCGGCTACAAGAGAAGAGGAAAATAATTATCTAATTGGGGTAAGAGCAAGAAGTTTGTTATCTCATACCTTGCAAGGGAAAATAGGAAGAGCTGGCTTGTTTAAGCAGCCTCCCTCCAGGTGTCTTGTGAATGCGGGTCATTCACAGGACACCTGCCAGGGTACAGTAGTGATGCGTTCAGCTCCTGCCTGTTATGCCTTCATGCTCCACTGTTTGAAACCGCACAGGGGAGGTTGCTGGGCTAAAACGTTTGAGAACTAGTTTGGGGCGCTCTTCCCAAATATGGCAGTACGTCGGCACTTGGAGCAAAGAGGCTCTGGAGAAGGATGCATCGTTTCCAGATCTTTCAGGGCTGTTTGTGTTGTAGTTTAGATCTTTAGCATCGAGAGCAGCGCCAGCCTGTTTGGTACAGCAGCTTTCTTGCCCTTCATTTAGTGCAGGCTGCTGCCCTAGGCTGAGATCACAGGTGCTCAGCTTTTGGGAGGCTGATGGCACCTGGATCTTGCCATGTAGTTTAGAGGTGCTCTTTTGCTAGTTTTTCCTGGAGCTAGATTAGAGGAGACCAGGAAACTCAGACAGTTGAAGTGATGGGTTTCATAGTCATCCATCTATTTTATTTTTTATTTTTTAAATCTTATTTAGAGCCCAGTTGGCCTTAATGTCCAAGTGACTCTCTTCCTTTTACTTCAGATTATTTCTGATGAGGGTGATGGACATTCCATATCTCAATTTGGAAGGACCAGATTGTAAGTATTCCCCCCCCACCTTTAATCATGTCAAAGTGAGATGGTTCAAACCTTTTTGATTTTGCAGCATCTACAGCAGCCTCTGTGAGAAATAGTTCCACCTTTAGTGGCGGCTAAGTTGCTGTCTATAAAAAAAGGAGGAATCAACTGAAGGTTGGCAAAGAGTGATTGAGTAAAATATGTGTGCGTGCGGGTGAGCTGATGTAGTCTGTTTTTGGGTCTAAATCAGCCTCCCCCAGAGCGGTGTTTCTGTGTGATTAACCCAGTGGGGAAAATCTCACTTTGATCTTAACTGCTTCACTTTGGCTTCTAGATGCTTCAGTGGGTACATGCAGCAGATCTTACCAAAGGTATAAATAAATAACTTCCAGAGCTAATATCAGTTTCTTCTGGCTTTGTAGTACAACCAAAACGTGATCATGTCCTTTACGTTACGTTTCCCAAAGAGTGGAAGACAAGTGACCTTTACCAGCTTTTTAGTGCTTTTGGTAAGTAGGCCAGTTCCAGTGACAAATTCTTATAAAAGAGCAGTTGAAGCAGTCTTATAAAAGAGGAGGGAGAGGAATTTGGAAAGTTGACCAAAAAGGAAGGCTAAAAGCAAAGGATTCTTGCATTTGGTGGTTTGAGCCAAAGCTCTTGAGAGCAGATGGAAGCTGGACTTGCAGGGCCCTTTTTGATTTTACACCCCAGTGGGGCAAGAAATACAGTAAAGGCCGTGCCCCTCTCTCGCGTGGGAGAGGAGCTGACATGTCCCTGCTCTGGGCGGTGCTGCTCCTCCCTCTGGGACTTGCGGCACGTCCCTTCCAGCCTAAAGGGCATTGGCCTTCTCCCTCCAGCATGAGAGCTGCCTTCTTCATTGTTCTTGGACAGATCTGATGAGAATTTACATTCTCCTTTCATTGTTTAGGAAACATTCAAGTGTGCTGGATTGACGATACCTCAGCATTTGTGTCTTTGAGCCAGCCTGAACAAGTACAGATTGGTGAGTTCCATAAAACCTTGAAAAGTAGGGTTCGTGGCTGGTTTTTTAAAAACATAACTGCTAATAGTTTGAATGTTTGAAGAAGATCCCTGTATTTTTGGCCTTCCTGCACTTTTTGTCTTGTGGGGGCTGCGAGCAACTGACTCTGCTAACTTTTCTTTTTTTCTTGCGGTCAAATGGATGCCAGGTGGGAACAGCTAAGTGCCAGGAGAGGAAAGGCATGGTAAAGAGGGACCAAGGAATGCAGCCTCCTTCAACCCTTTGCAGGCCAAACTCTGATCTCAGTCCCACCAAATCAGTGGCGGGGGAGCTGAGCATCTGGAGTGGGCAGAATCCAGCTGTGTTTGGAAGGTCAGGTACGCTACCTGGGCATGACTGGCCGTGAGTGCCATATGCCGCTTCTGTTCATGCATCCAGGCCCCTTCTGCAGGAGGATTTTTCAGGGAGGAAGACCTATTCTCCTGTCCAGAGTAGAATCCGAAAGGCCCAGCCTGGAATGGAGGGTTGCATGGCAGGGCTGTCTCTGACCAACAAATGCAGTTCATCTTGGATCAAGATTTGGACTGATTGCCAGAACAGGCACAACTGGTGGTTTTTGCAGGCTGAGCACTTGGCAGTCTCCCATTCTTTTCTACACTGGCTCTTGTGCAATTGCACCTACTTTTTCCCCGTTCCTCAATATCACTTTTAAAAAATCCTTTATTATTGTTGTGCCAAAACCTCACCTGTTCTAACCGCTGAGCTAAAGTTTTGCTTCAAGGCTTCCTTGTCACCAGAGGCTTGTTTTTCCAAAGGCCACACTGGTTTGTGGTACCTGGCATGGCAGATGTGAGCCATGATTCTTCGCCAAGAGCAGATGGAGAAATGCCAGTGGGGGCCAGCCTTGCCATCTGTGCCTGCAACACTTCCTGGATCGTCATGTAAATAAGCGGGAGCTGAGCTGGGTCAGACAAGCCGTCCCTTCGGTTGGACATTCCTTTCCCAAAGGACCCGGAGGAAGGCAGTACTAAAAGGAGAGATCTTCAAAAACGGAAAGGCCTTTAGAGCACCTCTGAGAGCTTTTGGGCTGAGCTTCGTGACGAAGGCCTCACAAGGGGCACGGAACCCTTTAGGGGACGGGCGATGGGCCCTCCCACAGCCAGTGTCACAGAGGGCACTAATGTGCAGATTCTGTCCTAGAACCCTGCTCAAGAAACAGCTTTTCAAAGGGTGTGCAGCTGATGCACATGGAATGGAGAGACTAGTCCCCCCTTCATATGTATAGTCATCATCTTGCAGCAAGCTACCATGGTGTAGCTGCAGTAAAAAATTGGGCAAGGTAATCATTACCAGTTATCTGATGTGGTTTTTCAGGTAAATCCCATGAAATATGAGGGAACTGCAGGAAGTCCTGGCTATCTGATCTCCATGACACATCCTCGCAAGGAGCCTTCGCTGCTCATGTTCAGACATGACACTGTGGCTTCGCTGCTAACAGGCCTGAATAGATGGCATCGGGAGGGCGGTACCAAAACTATACGGGTGTGGCTGGTTAAGTAGGTGGCTGACTTACATCAGCCACTTCCTCTCAGCTTCAGGTGATGCCGTTTTGGCAGATACCTTCCAAACCTGCAAGTATCTGTGAGTCTTCTGATTGGGTTCCCCAGTGTTAGGTTTTCCACTAATACTCTGAAGCAGTTCCGGATTATTCATTTATTTGAATGATTTATATTTCCACCCATCTCACCAGGGTGGCTATAGGATTTTCATATGAGGGCAAGCCCCACTCAGCTCTTGTGCCATTAAGTCAGTGTCACCTGGAGGGAAATTCTTGGGTGCAGAGTACAGAGACCGTCCGGCTCCTTAATGCTTCTCTGCCTCACGTGCTTTACAGAGTCAAGTTTGAAGATAACTGTGGTGCAGGGATCATCCATTCTGTTCCAAATTATTTGGAGAAAAAGCAGAAGAAAGACAGAAATGAAATAATAGCCCAGATCTTGACAGACACCTCCAAGTGGTTCTCTGGGAGAATCTGCGCTGAGGGATGGAGAGTGGGCTAGAAGGTTTTGTCAAGCAAACCAAGGCTGACGTTGGCACAGGGCTCTTGAGCAATAGCCCATTGTCTGCAAAGCTGCTGGGCAGGCCACTGAAGGCAGAGGATGCCCAGTCAGCTGAGGGTGACTAGTTTTGCTGACTCACCCTGGAGAACCTGTCTGGCAGATGGAAGATTACAGGTTGTGAAGCTGCCAGGACTTGAAGGGGGCGCTGATGCCAGAGAGCCAATGGGAGATTCCTGCACATCTTCTGCTTCTGGATGCTGTGAAGAATTCTGGCACAGAAGAAAGAAAAACGCGATTATCCAATGAGCTCTTTGTGCCGTGCTGTTTTCCTAACCATACTTTCCCACTGTTTCCAGCATCTCCCTAAACTGCTGATTTTTCCAGAGCAGCAACTTGTTTGGCAGTTAAGGGAAGAAATAGTAGGCTTGTCCAAAGCTAATTAGCCCGAGAATGGCTCTGTCTCAAATGCACTGGCACAGGGTTCAGCCTTAAACTTGAGTTAATAAAGCAAGAAATCGGCAGCTAGGACTTCGCCGGCCAACCACAGGACTCTAGCTCTTACACCAACCTGGCTGTCAGCTACACTGACCCGATATTTTTTTGGGGCGGGGGAGGTTAGCCATTCTTTTACCCAGGGTGGTCTTTGCCACTCTTTGCATCTCATTCTGACTCGAAGCAGCAGGGATGGGGAAAGATGGATGGGCTTCACTCTGGGCGTGCCCACTTTCCGCTTTGACGCCCTTTCTCCCTTGAATCTACCAACCCTGCTTGGAAGGGCGGTGGGTGAATTAAATAACAAAAATGAGTCTTTGACACGGCGTGACAGAATCGCATGGTTCGCCTCCCCCACACACACAGATTTGGACAGAGGCGTACCTTGAACTTTCTAACGTTTTTCTCAGGAACAGGGTTTGGTTTCCATTGCCAGCTCTCCAAGGACGTAGCCTGGCGGCTATCCCCTCTGTGGAAGAGGACCTTCCCGCCTCAGGGTTCGCGTCCCGCTTTTCACCTCTTGGGTAGGGAATATTTGAAGCCGACTTGTCCTGAAGTGGATTCACTTCTGAACGATTTTGTACTGATTTGTCCCCACAGCAGTTAATACCAGCAGGTACGCAGAAAGTTACCGGATCCAGACTTATGCAGAATATATTGAAAAGAAACATGAGGAAAAGAGGCAGGCAAAGAGAAAATGGGCAGAAGACAGTTGGAAGGAAGTCGAGGTGAAACGGTTAAAAACACAGGCCAGCCCATATGCCCTTCAAAGCCGATACTACAGTGTTAACAGGTGAGGCCCTTTTCAGCCCGGGCCGGTTCACAAGACGCGTTGCCTGGGGTGGTGGGGCAGGAGAGCGACTCAGTTCTGCAACTCCAAAAGCCAGGCAACTGACCTAGCCGGTTCAGAAGAGAGCAAGGGTTAGCCCCATATGGACTGGGTGGGTTCGGGGCCAGGGTTAGTCCCTCTGGGTCATCCAGACAATTGCCAGTGGATTTACTGTTCCTCCCACCTCCCTGATTGGGGCAACATCTTGAGAGAGGCTCTCTAGGCACCGCACCTAGAGGAAAAGTTCAGTTCCCAATCCTTGTAGCCACTGGGGGGCGGGGGGGCAGAAGTGGGGGAAGGAAGCCCCTCCTAACCTGTCAGGGGAGGCACCCCAGTTGCCTCATTGGGAGAGGGAAGTTTTCACCTTCTGGAAAGAAGTCAGAGTAGGAAGAGAGGTGCCAGCCTCCCCACCTCCTTTCCAGCATTTGAGAGGCCAGAGAAGTCTGGTCCTCCGAGATGCCAGGCCGCCAGCGCAGTTGCCCCATGAGGGAACTAACAGCCTGTGAGTTTGGAAATGCAGATAAAGAAGCAAAATTGCTTTGAGGATTCCAGACATCTCAGATGCAGTCCTCTGCCAGTGTAAGATAACGCTTCAAGTGCCAAACAGAAATTTGAAGCATTAATGTTGATCTGACAGAAGAAAGATGGTGCTGGTGGAGGCTTAACCAGCAAGCAAGCATTGATAGCAGGCCTATAGCTTCCAAGAGGATAAAACCATCACCTTGGAAGGACAGATATTTTTCTGACGGGCCAGGGGAAACAGTTAGCCGGGCTTGAAGGAAGAGCGAGTTTGGGCAACAGTTCTGCGACAGAAAGCCAGGATACATCTAGCTAGTATTCAGAATGGCAGAAGAACAGTTGATCCTTCTGAAAGCAGCTGGAGATGGTCTCAGGAAGGAAATTTACCGCAGGGACAGGAGGATGTTCCTCTTTCCTTGAGAGTGCTACCTGGGAATATTTATATGAAAGTCACCACAGACCTATTAAGCACTAATCCTCCCTCTTCTCCCCCGGGCATCTCCCACCACCCCAGTTTCTCAACTCCTAGTGCTGTGGGGAAGAGAAGCATGAGCCCCATCCAAGAGGAGAGCGCCACAGATGACCTGGAGGAAGCCGCGGTCCAAGGGGTGGACCTGGCCCACCCAGACACCTTCCTGGAGCCCATAGAAGGGAAGAAACAGGTCAAGAAGTTCAAGAAAGCCAAAAAGGAGCAAGCTTTGGGTGGTAGGTGGCACCCCAGGGGCACTTGATCTGACCGCCTTGGGTACCTGGAACTGGGGCGGCCTCGGCGCCAGTTGACCGACCTAACGGGCCCGGAGGGAGGGAAAGCCACCGGGGCTAGAAGTTCGTGGCTTGCCACGTATTTGAGAGCTTTGAATAGCTGATAAAAGAATGTGGCAGATAAGGTAGACACACCCCAGGGAGGAGGCATAGGCAGTCTTTATTTCACCCAGGCACCAGAGTAGCCCAGCACTGGGATACCGAAAGCAGGACGAATGGAGCACGCCAGGCAGTTCAGATTCAACCCCAGCATCTCGCACAGCCAGTCTCAGCACCTCTCCATCAGACCAACATGGGAGAATGATTTGCAGTTGGAAATGGAAGTCTGTGGGTGGAGCCACTTGTGCGCATAAGGGCTGAATGCCCAACTGAGCTGTGCCATGTTGAACAAGGAGTGGGCTGCAAGCAGTTGGTTGTGCCTTATGTGCAAGGTGGAGCAGAACAGAAATTCTACTCTAGTTAGCAGCAACACCCTGGACTTTGTTGTCCAGATCTGTGCTACATGCAATACTTACTGCCTGAAATTTGAGAAGTGCCATGAAAACCTTCCATGGCCCTCCTGAGCTCTAGAAGTTGTTCTTCTAAAGCTCAGGACAGGTAGATTGCTGCTGCTGCCGCCACTGCCACCCCCCCAGGTGGAAACAGGGAAGTCCCAGTTCCCTCCTTTTGGAGACCCTTGAAGGGTTCAAAGCCCAGGTCTATCTCCTCTCCTCGTTCTGAGTCCCTCATGATTAAAAAGGGTCTCCTTGATCAAAGGGGCTGAGGCAACAGTGGCAAGATTGTTGCTGGCCTGGAATTCGTTCTGGCCAATGCGGATGGAGACTTTGGCCTTGAAGTGGGTGGGATTTTGCTGAGCGTGCGCTTGTTCAGTTGTATGGTTGTGCTGTGCTTCTTCTAGGGGGGCTCAAGGCCGCTCCCACCAGGCTCTTTGATGTTCCAGACACATGGTAGCTGCCAGGAGCACCAAATCAGAGGGCTTCCGTTCCAAGGAATCGGCGGCGCGTGTCCTCCCGAGCCATGCTGCATGGAAAGAGAGGAGGTTTATACACAAATAAAAGGCAGGGTGCTTCTTGGAAATCTGTTTTATTTTTCAATCTGTCTACTGAACAATCAGTCACTGTTCTTATGTGTATGCATGCGTGTACATGTCAGTTTTGTTGATTATGTGAAATCCTTTTGCTGTCATATATGTTAGATCAAAATGCCAAACTCCTTGGGTTTGACCCCTTGTACACGTAACGTGGGTGAGAAACTTTACAAAGTCTGTGTGTGCAGCTTGCTCTGCTGGTCCTCCTTGATGACACGTAAGGTGTCTACATAAGTCATCTCCTGTCCAGACTTTCAGGCACATGAACACCTAGTTGGTCGCCCGTTTTTCTTCCCTGCCATTTTCTGCTACAGTGCATCCTGTGTTCCTCCCACCCAAATTAAAGAGAATCGGTCCTTTCACTTTGGGGAAAGAAAAGGGTCTTAAACTTCACATTAAGTTTGAGAACCAGCACACTCAGAGGGGAGGGAAACCTTCTTGGACATCTTTTCCCTTGATTTGTGAGTCGCATTCTGTATTTAAAAAGACAAACAAACCGGCAGCATTCACCAGCTTTCATTAGTTTAAAAAATAAACCTGCTTTGGTAGATTTCATAAACTTGGTTTGATATTTAACATTTTTGTATCGTGGAATGAAAAATATTATTTCCATAAAGTGAAAAATTAAAGAATCTTTTTCTTAGGAATCTAACCGTGTTCAGGTGTGTTTCTAACAAAGATATTTCATTCCAGCTGGAGAGAAGAGTTAAGCCATTTGATTTTTTAGCCAACGCATCCCTTTTCTTTTGCATGCTTGAACAGGAGAGCGACCTTTCGTTAGCAATATGCAAGGGGTCATGAACGCTGGATAAATCCTTACCCTGGCTCAGGAAGGATCCCCAATTGCTCTGCCAGGGGAAGCCGCGCTGCACTGCTGAGAGAGAACGTGGCGGAAAGAGCGTCTGAGCTCGGGGCTTCCTGCCTGAGAGTGTTCGGCCGCCTTGGCCAGAAGCCTAGCGCGTTCCCCCTTTGCCCCAGGCCGTGGGCTGTGGGGGGCTTTATTCTGGTGCTCAGGAAACGCTTGATAACCTGACCCAGGTGCTTCAGCCAGTCATACACAGGGAAGGAGGGCATTTGGCCGGGCCCTGTTTTCCCCGCAGCCACACAGTCCACCTGGGAGCTGCTCGTGGTCTTCCCAAAGCTCTGGGCTTCTGGCGGCTTGAGCCGTTCACCTGGGGAGCTCCTGGTCTGGCTGCGGTAAAGGCCCCCCCCAGCAACCTGCCTCCTCCCTGCAAAAGGCTGTTGTTCTGTGCAAAAAGTCAGCTGGCTCCGGCTCCTGGCGGAGGAAGAGAAGAAGCTGGCTCGCCTGGGCTGCCGTAGCAGCCGGGGCAGCGAAGGGAGGTCGCTTTCCTTGGGGAAAAGCGCCAGGCCAGCAAGCCAAGCCATTTGCAGGCAGGGAGTTCCTGTTGGCCCTCTTGACGGCGCATTCCCCACCTCTCTGCTTCCAGCAGGCAGGGGAAAGATGCGGGCACCGCTCCATGCAGCCATCCAGAACAGCCTCTGACAGGAAGGAAACGTGCTGAGCCGAGTTCGTCAAAAAACACCACGGGTCGAGGGGAATGTGCTTCCTGCTACACGGCTCTTCCCAGGCTTCTTTTCCCAGGAATGGCACGAGAGGAGTTTCCCTTTCAGCGGTGTTGGACTTTTTAAACACTAGACCACGAATGGGTGTTTGCTGTCGAGTTACTATTGCACAGCCTCCAATCGCCAGCGGGGCCTTGGAGGTACAGGGAGCCAGTTTCAGACACGGGCCACTTGATTAGTCTAAAACTGAAGTTTTGCAAAACCCGACAGGCCAACTGATGCCAGGTCCCTGACTCCACACCTCTGGCCAAGGATGGCAACGTTTGCTTTTCGGCAGCCCCGCTTAGCAATGAATGGCGGGGGGAAGGGTCAGGAAGCCTGTCCAAGGCAAAGTCTGAAGTCTGCCTGGGTATCGGGGATAGGAAGCGGCAGCCACAGTGAAGCAGTTGCCCCCTAAACACGGGGGCGAACAACTGCCCACCCCACAACCAGCAAGTCCAGCTTGGGAAAGAGGGAAACCCCCTCAGGAAGGAGAGGGTCCCAGCCTAATGGGGCTGGCTTGTAGGCCTCCCTTCCAGGCACAAAGACCCCCATTTTCTCTAGTCCTGGCAAGGCGCTTCTGGACTGTTCCGTGCCCTGGCATTTCAACCTGGTGACACTGGCCTGTTCACCTCAGCTTCATGCCAGGCAGATTGAACCGCAGGCCACGCACCTTGGCGAACGCCACCTTCAGCTCTGCGAAATGAGGACGTTTCTTACATTCTCAGTTGCTGGAGTGCAAAGTGAGGGCGAGCCCCTTGCATCTGAAGCCGTCCTTATCCCGGAGGAGAAGCTGCCCGCGAGAGGGGAGGGGCTGAAAGCCCTGTGCCATAAAGCCCCCACAGAGCACCAGCTGGTCGCTCTGCTCATGGAGAGCATCTCCGTGGGAGAGGTGACCTTCCCACGTGGATTCCTGGTTATTTATCGCCAAGACTGGCCCCACAGGGTCCCTTTTAAAAAACGGGTCAGCCTGACCCCCTCCACTTCTCCGGCCCTGGGCCTGATCTGACAGCAAGTTCTGCCAGGGGTCCCACGACCTCCCATCTGTGGCTCCTTGCTGCTGTGGCTCCAGGACATAATTGTGCCTGGAGACGACGAGGGGTCAGGGTGGGGCCTCTGATTTTATTCCAACCCCCCCCCCTTGCACCAGGCCTTTTCTTCAAGACTCCCCAGCTTGCCTTTCCTGTCTGACAATGACCAGGTTAATGATTAAGGCCGCGCCCTACCCATCCAATTTCCCATCCCCCTGCCCTCCGTTAGGCAAGTGGGCTGTGAAACATTAACCCAGAAGCGTGTCCCGTAGAACCCCTGGCCGCTTTCTTGCCGCAGGCTGCCAACGGGCACATTTGGAAGCGCCTCCTTGGTTTGTTTGCAACAGCAACATAGATGGGCACGAGCTGTCGGTCTCCACGCTCAGGACAGACCAAGGCAGAGCTCTGCCCTCGGGCCTTCCCTTCTCTGGGTCTTAGGCCCACTCATTTGGGGAAGTGAGGGTTGCCGGGGTTGGAAGGGAGGCCCTGGGGAGAGCGGGCACCGTGGCGCACAGTGGAGCTTCCTTCGCAAGGGAGGCAGCCAGACTCCCCACTGAAGCCTCCGTGCACTCGCGTTCCTCCCACTCTGGAAGAAACCCTTGGCCAGGTCCTTTGAAGACCGGCAGGTTGGAGTTCTGCCCCACTTCTCGCAAAAGGGGGTTGATTCCTCGGCTTTGCTCTGCGCCTTCCTTTCTGGCCGACCTGAATTTCTCACCATTCAGTTTTACAGGACAATCCTTTGAAATTCCCAAGCCGTGAGAAGAGGAGAAAAGCTCCCAAATCCTTTTTCCATCTCTGCTGGACAGCACGTCTTGCCCCCGTGTCCCTCTTGCTTTCAGTTGCTGAGTTAAAGGGATTAATAAAGCATTCAAAGGATGCTCATGGGGAAATAATAAACGTACACGCATTCTCTTTAAAAAAAATCCCAAGCCTCCTAGATCCTCAGCAGTGTTTTCCTCCTTCCTTCCTTCCTTTGCAAGGCACAAACAAAATAAACATGCAGGACTCAGCCATCAGCTGAACTTTGCAAGCCAAACCCTCACCAGAGAGTGATGTATTTTTAAAGCAAATGCTAAAACGTAACCCAAAGCAGCAAGCCCAAGGAGGCCAGATTGACGGGAGACGAGAGAAGCTGGTGGGACATAAATATTGCCTCGCTTTAGGCTGAGACACATGCATGAACCCCACCCCAAAGGCAGGAGCCAATATGGAGGCTTATGTGA